ATAGCCATAAACACATAGAATGATTACATATAAATGGTGACAGTAGGAAAGAGACGGTAGGCACGCTGGTGCGCTTATGATTGTAAATAAAGGACTACCTGTATTCAGTCAGGAAAATCCAGAAACTAAACAGGGTATTAAGGTTGGTTCTAGATTTTGGTTCAATAGCATGCATTTTTTGAATTAGAAAGAACATTTTCCATACTGCATGTCCTGCCTAATATTACATTGCCAGAAACGGTCAGCATCCAACAGCCAAACAGACAGCTTTGTACATGTGTTTTAAGAAGATCAGTTTTCCCAAACTGGGCAATAATTTTAAAATGTCATTGATCTAGCCCTCTTATTTGGTAACTTAGAATTTCCTAAAGGAGGGTTTAAAGTGCATATAGTCAAGGCTATGGTTTTCCCAGTTGAAATGTATGGCTGTGAAAGTTGGACCATAAGAAAGGCTGAGCGGCAAAGAATTGAGGCCTTTGAACTATGGGGCTGGAGAAGACTCCTGCGAGTCCCTTGGACTGCAAGGCGATCAAACCGGTCAGTCCTAGAGGAGATCAACCCTGAAGGCCAGATCCTGAAGATGAAACTCAAATACTTTGGCCTCCTAATGAGAAGGAAGGACTCACTGGAGAAGAGCCTAATGCTGGAAAAGATTGAGGGCAAAAGAAGAAGGGGACGACAGAGAACGAAGTTGCTGGATGAAGTCACTGAAGCAGTGAGCTTAAATGGACTCCAGAGGATGGTAGAGGACAGGAAGGCCTGGAGGAACATTGTCCATGGGGTCGTGATGGGTTGGACACAACTTCACAACTAACAACCACAACAAAAGGAGATAAAGGAAGCCTGATACTAATATTACCAAGAAAAGGCATTTCTATAGATTATTCCATCCTTTCCTTTTCAACAACAAGCATGGAGGATGTGGTGAATAAACAGGAGAGAACTAACAAATGAAACATAACATTGTCTGGATACAAATATGACTATAAATTCCATGAATGAATGAGCTAGGGAAATTGCAAAAACTTAGTTTTAAAATTTTAGTTTTTATTTCAATATTCTACATAACAATTCAACTTGATTATTATATCCACATTGCAGATAGAAACTTAACTTTAAAACTGTATGCCTGCTTAAGGGATAAACTCTAACACCATAGGCCTGCTAAAGTGCTATCTATCTTAAAAATTCATAATTCAAGTCATATTCTCACATTTTCATCTCACATCTCCAGTTTCCAGGACTGTGAGAAGTACATAGAACCACCTGAGAGTTATCCAAATTCTTCAGGCCCCAAAGATGAATTCTACATATAAATGGTATATATTTGTTCCTTTTTGTATAATTTGGTGTATTTTTGCAAGTCATGGGGGATTTTTCCTTTTCTTTTTTCCCTTTTGAGAAAGATTTGACTCCTGGTGCCTGCCTGGACAAATCCCTACAGATTTCTAAGCATCATTTTTAGAAGTGATTTGCCATCAATTTCTTCTTCCTAAGGATGAGAGGGAATGACGAGCCCAAGAACACCCAGATGGCAGAACTATAACTCAGCTTTTTATCTCCTAGTCCAGCACTTTAACCATTAGACCAACCTGGCTCTCATTTATTTCCAGTGGAAGAATGCAAAAGCTTAATCATAGCACTGAAAAACAACGATAGGTCCTCGTTTCTGTTCTTTTGGGATATAGGAGAATGCATGCTCTGACTAGTCGGTAATTCTGTACTGCAAACTCAACACATTTTGGAGGTCTTCAGATTAGTAATGCTGACCTACAGGAGCCATAAATTATTTGTCATCTGGAAGTAAATCCCACTATTAAGGTTATTCAACACATTCAACATAGCTACTTTCAGGAATGATTCTAGGTTTATTGCATGAATATCAATGGATTGTTGTTTGCTACATTTGCATGATACTATAGATAGCATTTCTATAGGTGCAGAATGCTTTAATTGTACTGCATGGAATTGCAGGTATTTGGATTAAGGGATAAATTTTCTTCAGCAAAGGATGTGATTTCCATCTACAGTAAATCTGACCTCGGACACCTTTCTTTCCCATCCATCCACCCTTCTTTTCTATACACTCCTTTTAGCTCCTGATTTAATCAAATCCACGCCACCACTGTTCCTGCAACCAAAATAAAATATTCAAGAGAGCAGCAAAAGTTGAAGAACAGGAAATCCTTTTAATACAGAGCATACTTCAATCATCTAGAGAATTAAGACAGTTCCGAAACTGAAGCAGGCAAGGATGCTGGCTTCATAGCTTGGTTCAAGCATGACAAGGAAGCTGCCTCCTTTTGTTGTCCTTGGGGTTTTTGAACATCTCTTGTCCTCCCATCAACCTCTCTAATGTGCTCCTGGTTTTATCCTTCTCGTCGTTCTATATAAAGCAACTCGTGGCCCTGTAAATAGCCAGGTCTTATGATATTGTCTCTGCTGGAGAGAGAGCTGTGGCCTGTGAAAATATTTTTAGCTTCAAGGCTCAGGGGATTTGAGGGTAGGCCAATCTAGCTTTCATTATGAATTTGAGACAGTGGGAAGGGTCACAGGACAACGTTTCCCCACCTCACCCTGTTTTTCTCAAATTACCAGCTTTTTGGTCTTCCTCCCTCCTTTCCTCTTTTCCTTGCACTTCACCTCCCCGCAGTTTGAGTTATGCTTTTACTGCAGTGTCACATCCCAAAGGAAGGCTGAGAGGAGCATTCAAATGGGAGTTGTGAATGGATTTTAAACCTCCAATTTCAGGCCACTTCATCTTTCCATACATGTTATTCCTAAAACATGCTTATCCGTTATCTCCTATGGAACAGAAGGGTTTTATTTTCTTTTTCTATAAAGGAAATCTACCACCGATCTTCCAACTATTTCCAGTAATCTGCCATAGGCTAATAGATCTCACAAAAGCCAATGTTACTCAATTTCTCTTCAGAGCCTAGGGAAAAAGACTTTAAACAGAGATCAAAAGAGACTTGTTTTAGCAACCTCATCTAAAAACGAAGGCTCTTCAGCCAACCAGGGGAAAAAAAACCCAAAGCCTAGAGATAGAACTGGACATCACATTAAATGCATCTTTGCATTAAAAAAAAATACATTTATATTTTTAAAGGAATTAATATTGTTAATATCAAAGGTTGATTGTAAGTGAAGGATATCTAAAGAAAAGGGAATATAGTATATTTGGGTACGAAATGATGCAAAGATAGATCTAGCTTTTCTCTTTTGCATCAAGAAAGTTGGCAGTGTAAAAAAATGGCATCAACATAAGAATCATGTAAATTCATTAGACTTAATATTGAAAGTACATTCTGAAGAAAGATTGCAGCAGAGGATGCATTTCTTAGGAATAAGAGTTTGTGCATAGCTTTTCATGGGGGTGGCAAGTATCTTGTCAGGAACATGACATCACTATCACACCAGCTCAGGCCCCATCACCCACTAGAGTTAAAAGGTCTCCTTAAGTCAGAGCAAGGGGATATCATATAAAGAGCAAAGTTGAAATTGCAGGGATGATCACACAAGAAGCCTAACTTCTTAACTGCAGGGTATTTTTTTAGAAAGGCATGGGGGAAATGGGGAGGAGGGCATACTCTGACTAAAACGAGGGGGAGGAAACGCAGAGTGGGCTTGTTGCTTTTATTATCTTGCTGTCTCATAGCAATTATCCACCACTTGCACCTTGTGAAACTACACATAAACTCCCACTGAATTTGCCTATGAGAACAATACTTTCTCTTTGCCAGGGAAAAAAAATAATAACTTTACCATTTGTGCTCTTACACTGATCACAGAGGAAGAAAGAGTTGGTGTATCAAATGTATTTTTCTCAGCCAAAACATGAACGAACGAACGCATTTATTTTTGACCATAAACACCTCTCAAATGTAAACTAAACACCTTATATAGACTTCATAGAAGGGTGGGAAGTGGGGAGCCACTGTTTAGATCTGCCGATAGGTATTTCCTGAATGCAAATCAGGAAGAGACTGGACGAGGCACAAAGTCCAAGGTTAGCAGGAGAGTATTTGTAAGCAAGAACTAATAAGCATGGGGCTTTCCAGAGACTTTGGACCAGTGGTGGGTTGCTCCCGGTTTGAACCGGTTCTATAGAACCGGTAGTAAAATCGGCAGGAGGCTCTGTCCACCAACCCTGACGTCATCAGCGAACCAGTAGTAAAGGTAAGTAGAACCCACCCCTGCTTTGGACCATTCTGATGCTGGTTGGGGTTGATGTGAGTTGTAATTTCTTAAGAAGCGGGAGGAATTCTCAACAGCATCTAAATGATGTAGTCATCTATATTAGATTGAAATGGGGGGAGAAATGCAAGCCTGTGAGTCAGATTGTCTCAAGAAAGAAATGCTGTGGGCTGTTGTTGAAGTGACAAAATTCTAAGAGATGAACTGCAATTAGAGGGCAATGGTTAGAGTGGTTTCCTGCTGTTAATCAAGAGATGTGGATCCTGGGACTTGTGCCCAAGTTATTCCCCTGCTCCAGAAATGATGGTGTAGTCAAGCTACTTTCCCACAATAACTCAGGGCAAGAAATTGGGGGGGGGGGGGAAGACCCGCTCTCCCATAAAAGCTCTCCCCCTCCCCTGTATGTATTATATGGAGAGAACCTGGCCCCACATCCCAGTTGGGAGCAAGGAAATCTGGGGTCTGGGGACATTAAGGGTAAACGGGCTCGCCTTCAGCCTGGCCCCCATTACTCCAGGCTAGTCTACACAACCCCTTTACACCTGCCGGCTGGCCAAGGCGGGGAGTTGTAGCACGCGAAGTCTGGAGAGGAGTCGGATCCTGGAAGGTTGAAAGGAAGCCCTATTTTCTCACCTCCATGAATTTCACCTGCCAAGCGCCTTGGGCCACCCTAGCCGGTTCTGCCCCGGCACTTCCGTTCCTCAGAAATGCCTGATAAAAGTTTCGGTGGGAAAAACGGGGGACTGGGGAGGGGAGGGGGCGCCCACCCCTGGCTTTCCCCGGGCAAAAGACGGACTTACAGGGCAGCCTCCGGTTGTGGCCGTGATGGGCTTCGGGTCCTGACATCGCTTTCTCGGGTGGGCAAGTACGGCGCCGATTCGCCTGGATAGTCCACGGCCTGCCCGGGCAGAAGGAAGGACGCTCTCACAGCAGACCGGCCGCCAAGACTCCCGCCGTTCCCAAGCGCCTGCTCATCTTCCCAGGGACTCCACCGGCCGTAACTCCGGCTTGTCTGGCTCCGGCAGGGCGGACTGGGACTTCGGCAAGCAGAACGTACCAAGTGGCCGGGATGCCAAAGGGGTGGAGCCGCAGATCGCGGGGCGGCGTGTGTGTGGGGTGGGGGGGAGGGCGGTGTTGCTCTTCGCGCTGATTTCCCCTCCGCCTCGTTTGGCGAGGTCGGAAGTGGAGGACGAGACGAGGAGGCTGGAGTGGCGGACTCGCCCCGTGGGGTTGTTTTTTTTTTTTTTAATGTATAAACGCCGTTTTTCCCAAGGCCGCTGTAGGCGTGAAAAACGGACGGGGATTAAAGGAAGAAAGGCCAGCAGTCGGAGAAGAAAAGGCTGAAGGCTGCAAAGATGGGCCGTCTGGCGGGACCCTAGGACCGATCAGCTCACTTTACCTTGCAGGGTTGTTGCTGTGGAAGGGGATGAAGGAGGAACTGTGCTCTAAATATGCACCAAAGACAAATTCCTTGTATGTCCAATCACACTTGGCCAATAAAGAATTCCTATTCTATTCTATTCTATTCTATTCTATTCTATTCTATTCTATTCTCATTCCATTCCATTCCATTCCATTCCATTCCATTCCATTCCATTCCATTCCATTCTATATGGGAGCCTGGAGCTCCTAGAGACCTGTGGAAATATGAAGAAAATAACAATAATACCGCTGACGTAGCCTCAAATGTGCCTTCAGACACCTAAATGTACCTTCGGACACCTGAAAGCCAGCAGGCTATTTCTTTCCTACCAAAGGGAATGCAGGTAAAGGGGTGTTTCTCAACCTTGGCATCTTTAAGATGGATGGGCTTCAACTCCCAGAATTCCCTAGCTGGTTGGTTCGCCAGGGAATTCCGGCCAACCAAGATTGGCTGGGGAATTCTGAGAGTTGAAGTCCATTCATCTTAAAGATGCCAAGATTGAGAAATACTGATATGGAGAGTTTTGTTTTGACGGAGTCTCTTGTGGTTTCGATAAAGGAACAGGGAACTGGAAATTTCAGACTTATGCATACTAAATGGGAAGTCCCTGTGTTTTGAACTATTTTGCATTTATGTGGGGAGGTTTGATTTAACAGATTAATAGAATTGGAAGGGACCTTGCAGGTCATCTAGTCCAACCCCCTGCCCAAGAAGGAGGCCCTACATCTGCCTCTACCTAGGATTGAACTCATAACCTCCTGATTGCAAGGCAAGAGCTCCACCTCTAGGCCTCAGCAGTTGGGTGAAACAGGTGCTTCCATTCCCTTGTACCTGCAGAAGGAACCCAGGCAAGGAGGGGCAGGCAGTGCAGCAGGTATGATAAACTAAATTCCTTGCTTGTCTGGAAGTCCCTTTTCTGGCAAACAATTTTGTTATTAAAAGGCCTAAGAGCACTTTATCAGATCTTTTGCTGCCATAGACTAACACAGCTCTCTTCCCACAGTTTTTCTTGTCTGATAATATTAGTGATGAATGCTTAAGGATTCAGAAAAGCGTGTGAGGTATAAAGATCAATGCTGCCAAAAAAAAAAAGCTGCTTACGCAGCTAATAATTCTGTGAGTCCAATGTTACTTAATCCACTGATAGTGTCTAATGTCTCCCTGGCACACAGATTTTCTCTCCGAGATATCTTGTTGCTGTGAAATGATTTGATCTGTTTTGAATCTATTATTAATCAGTTGGAAGTACTCCTGCACATTGAGCACAATTAATTGATGGGATTCAGTGTGCTACTTAAGATGCAGTTGCGGCTGCTAGCTCGGACAAATTAAAGGATGATGCTATGAATGGCTATTAACCAGGATGGCTAAGAGAATCACCTTATGTGGGACAGATATCTGTGGGGGACAATCCTGCCAGATGCTACTGTATGTTTCTCTGCTGATGGATAAAATGTCACCCAAGGTGCTGAATTCCACTCTAAGCAACAAATACCTGATCTATTCACGATTTAGTATTCATTTATAGTGCATCCTGTAGTTCTTAATTAGGCAAATATTAACTAGCCCTTTATGAGCATTGAAAATAAGATGCAATAGTCTTTTTCATGTATACATTTTCTAAACTCTGACTTACCAATGCCTTAAAATTGAAGAGCAACAATATAATACTTGAACAATGGACATAATTATAATCTCCAATATCTAGGGGGAAGGAGGATCCATCACAGCTTTTTACTGATCACATTTGTCCACCTCCCCCTACTTTGTCACTTTTGGAACCACTTTGAATGACTGACAGATGCATGTCACTACAACATGTGTAACACCTAGGTATTGGTTTTTGATTCCTGATGCTGCCATGCAAATAAATCAGAGCATGAGAACTGCACAAAGTATAATTCTGCTATGACAGCCAGGGCACTTCAACTCTGACTGTATAGTAGCCTTTCCAATTTTACCATTTGTTCATTTAAGTGTCTTCTTCTTCCAGAAGGTTGACTTTGAGTCTTTATTGTCTGCTTTGACTCACAGTTGACCATGGAAGAGAAGGATGTGGTAACAACCAGATCTCTTCCACATTCTATGCCATTGACCAAATCAGGTTAGTTATTCCTTTAGAAAGGATTTATCACCTCCAGCGCAAGAGAGTGCCCTACAGACTCCTTCATCCAAGTCACCATTGAACATAACCTTGGCTTCCTCCACCAAGTGGTGTTCAACAGGAGTCTATTAACATCCATAATCACAGAGCCACTTATGGAAGGTCTTAGGGACTATGGTGAAAATATGGACCTGACTTCTCCGTCTTTCAATCTTATTCCCCCCTCCCCCCTCCAAGTTTGGAATGCATACAATTCCCATCTGGAGGATATTAAATTCAAGGAGGCTGTCCTTACATTGTGTCTGCGTATTGTTATGTGTAGGCCATCTCTGCTAAACAAATAATTCCCTCAACACTGTCAAACTATTTACTAAGTCTACACTTCTATTAACCTTCTCATCGTTCCCACCACCCATCTCCTTCCACTTATGATTGTATGACTGTAACCTTGCTACTGGTATCCTTAAGATTTATATTGACTGTTTCCCTATGACTATCATTAAGTGTTGTACCTTATGACTCTTGACGTATCTTTTATGTACTCTGAGAGCGTATGCACCAAGACAAATTCCTTGTGTGTCCAATCACACTTGGCCAAAAAAGAATTCAATTCAATTCAATTCTATTCTATTCTATTCTATTCTATTCTATTCTATTCTATTCTATTCTATTCTATTCTATTCTATTCTATTCTAGTCTTAACTGGCTTGCTTGCCTTGTCTATTCATGCATTTCTCTTCCACTTCAGGTTGCCCCTCTGATTTTAGATCAATCTTTTTTGTCTTTTCATTTGGGATCACTTGCTATTGTCCTTTTCCATACCAACTGTTTCTAACTGGGTGACAGAGGACAGGTGATTATATTGTATAGATGAAAAAGTGACAGTTTCAAGAACTCATGCTTGCACCCATGTTGGAGGAAAGATGTTAGGGAAACCTAAACGCTGTTGAACAAGAACTAGTCCACATGTCCACTGTAACTTATATATAATTTAGCAGCATGAGGAGGGTCACAGATCCCCTTCCCCAATCTTAGAATTAATAAGGTTGGAGTTATGTATGGATGGGAGATGATTTCCAAGATAGAGAAATTCTGGGCACATCTGGGTTTTACTGAATTTTCATGCATTGTTTTTGCAATCCTACTTACGCACAAGAGAGCTATGTATGGTTGTTAATGAAAGAATTATTTTTTAGAGTCAGAGCAGCAGTCATCAGCAGTGAATTGATTCACTGCCAGTTTAGAAGGTGGAATTCAAATTGGATTTTATTTAAAGCTGTCCTTCACAAAAGGAACCACATTGCCAAGTTGCCTGCACTTTTTAAATTCAGGAAGTGCTCTTGGAATAATTTGCTGAACATAATATACGTTTTTTGTCTAAGTATGTGTTCATGAAGCCCATTATTGTAGCTTTAACATTCTAGTCTCCATCCTCCAAAGTAGGAACACTCACCTCTGAGACAAACCTTTCTCTTATTAATTTTATGGACATTTTTACATAGTTTTCTTGGCATAATATGGCAGGAGTTTGCCATCATTTTCTTCCAGGGAAGTTTTAGATTTCTCAATTTAACCTACTGCACTGCAGTGGTATATTCTGGCAGCCTACCAACCTATGCTAACCAATTAACAGTGCTAATTTTGTTTCATTTAGATCAGTGTTTCTCAGTCTTGGCAGCTTCAAGGAGTATGGACTTCAACTCCCAGAATTCCCCAGCCAGCTTCCTTGCTGGCTGGGGAATTCTGGGTGTTGAAGTCCCACATCATAAAGCTGTTGATTGCCTTTGATCTTAAAGCAGAAATATGACCCTTTACCCAACTTTCCTGTTGTAGAAATGTAATATAAATGTCATTCAAGTACTGCATCAGCTATCTGTGAGACACTTCAAGTGTTTATTTTAACAGGTTCATGAATCAAGATGTTAAATGCCAGACAGCGGGTGGACTAATCATTTTTATTACTTGACAGTTCTGTTAGAAATAAGGATGCAATCTTCCTTGCCTTATCTGTCCTGCTTTACCGTAGAGTTTCCATGGTGATTTTAATCTGAGCAACATTGCCCCCTGCTGATAAAATACCAAAGCATCCTGCATTTCGTAATAATTTCATGTTAATATTTTTAGTCTTGTAATCAGTTAAAAGAAATTCAGCTTGCTTGATAATCTCATTCCTTTCTAATCTCGTCATTCATTGCATCTGAGAATGATTTCTTTCTGTGCTTCTAAATAAGGTGCAGTGTCTAAAATGAAGAATGGGATGTCAGGACTCAATAGCACATGTGAGGCATGACTCCCAAATCTGTAGAAACATCTTTTTTTAAACAACAACAATAACAACGACACTCTACATGCCTAGGGTATGAATAATTGATAAGTGGTTAGCTCATTCTGCTCTAATTATGAAAGTAAACTATAATCTGAAAAAAATATTTTTGACTTTTGGTTCCAGCTGTCTCCCTATTTATTTGTTTTCCTCTCCTCTTAAACAAAGCAGGAGCTTCTTCAGAAAGATTAAATAAAAAATTTCAGGGGGAAATGCAGATAGAACACAATCTAGTAGTACCTTCTGAGTCAGAAGAAGCTAAATACAAGTTGCTGGGGAACAACTACCCAAGCATATGATCCAGGGGTGGGTTCTACTTACTACCGGTTCGCAACGGGATCGCACTTGCGCGATCCCTTTACTCGCACGCGCACCTTGCTTCTGTGCATGCGCAGAAGCTTCTGTGGATGTGCAGATCGCTGATGATGACATCCAGGGTGGTGGGTGGGGCCTCCCGCCAGTTTTACTACCGGTTCTTGAGAACCGGTCTGAACCGGGGGCAACCCACCATCGATGTGATCCATCCTGTTATCTGTGCTTTTGTGATTTCCTTTTAACCAGAGTGTATCCCAGAATGATTGAATGGGTGGTCCAATAGATGTCTTCTTATGCTTTTTCATACTGAACATCCTCCTTGCTCCCAAAAAACTATGATTTATGCCTGCAACTTTATTAAATTTCCTCTGGAAAGGCTAATGGTTACTGCTTGGTATTGACTCTAGCACACAGTGTTAAACTTGCGGCGTCACATTGCCGTCACATGACATATCGCAACGTTTTCCCAATTCACGGAGCTGGGATGGGCGTGGCCTGAGCATGTCGCATCCAGCCTGTGGGCCGCCAGTTTGACACCCCGCATGTCAACAGCTGAGGGTTATGTAATTGCCATCTATTATTGTACATTTTGTGCAATGATTACTTTGATAGATTTTTGAACTCTTGATTGTATGATAATTCTGTTTGTCAGTTTTTTCAATAACACTAATACCAAAACTGACTACACCTTAAAAGCCATTTTTCAATATCAGAATTGAGTCCTGAAAGTAAGCAATTAAATGGCACCCTCAGGAATTCAGGATAAACATCTGGCAACTAGGTCTAGTGACTCCAGTCCCATCTTTAGGCATGAAAGGTGGCTTGGTGATCTTGGACCAGTTACTCACCTCAACCCAACTCACCTCACAGGGTTGTTGTTGTGGAGAAAATAGGGTGGGGAAAGAATATTGTATGTGTTCACCATCTTGAGTTATTTATTAAAATAATTTAAAAGGTGGGTGAAAATAAATAAATAAAACTTCCACTCTATCATATATTTCCTAGCTTTTCCCTTTGAATAGCCCCAATAAGAACAATCTGCACAAGACTGTTCTTCACATTTACAGCAAGTTCTTGACAACAGAGTAACCAGACAAGTGCTTCTAAAAATACCTCTGTATTCCAAAAAAGGTTGGAGCTGAGACTAGTGATTTAGAAGGTCTCATGAAGTCTAACTTATAGAAAAAATTCATAAGATCTTCTAAATCGCCAGCCTAAGTTCCAGCCTTCTCCATAGATACTCCACATCTGAAGAACAATACACTGAGGCTGTCCTAATGTAATATGAAGCAGTTAGAGCTACTCCTTCCTTTGGAGAGCTGCTGGTGCTCTCAATACCCTCGGCTACGTTGCCTCCCATCAAGAAAAATATTTGCATTTGTAGAATGATTTGGAAGGAGGTGTGATGCTGGCACTTCCTAAGTTTTGGCCCCGTAAATCAGGGGTCTCCAACCTTGGCAACTTTAAGATTTGTGGACTTCAACTCCCAGAGTTCCTCTGCCAGCAAAACTGGCTAGGTTACTGCCTACTCAGCCTTAACCTAAAGCCAATCTGAGAATTCCCTTATTGGAATCTGTCTCAGCCTCTCAGAAAAAAAAACAACAACACCTCAGGTAATATTTCCAGTTGTTTTCCATAATCCTGCTCCTCCCACCCTTTTCTCCAGCACTTTAATTTCTCTGCCATTACTGTCATGGTTTCTGATGTCACAAAGAAATGATGTCACAGCATCTGTGCAGCTTGAACATCACTCATGGCTCCCCAAACCCAAGAGGCCCAGTAGCTTCTCAGAGCCAGAGGGAGCAATCACCTTTTCTCTCAACTATCTTGCTTATGAGCTACAGGCCCTCCTGTGAAGCTCTGGCTGAACCACCTGAAAGAAGATGAAGGCTGTTGGGAAGAAGAAAGAATGTCTTAATGTATTCCCTCTTGAGGCATTTTGAATATTATGGACCTAAGTTTCATTTGAAAGTTGATTATCATTTTAATAGCGACTCTAACAATCTCCAATTATGGAATAATTATTTGTAACTTTGTAATACTAAGTTCTATTTGAAATATTTTATTGCATTATGGTTTTGTGCACTGATTTTGATGGATTACATACATTGTTCTTTTCAGAAGTAAGATTAATTAATATCAACAAGCCATAATGTTGTAAATGTGAAGAAGAGATGACCTTCCAGATGTTGCTTAACCATATATTCTGTGATTCCTCACCATTGGCCATGTTGCCTGGGGTTGATTGCCTGAGTTTCAGTTAGCAATATTTGGAAGATCCTATGTTTCCCATCCTGGTATACAGGATTAAAACCTAAGTTATTAAATAACTAATAAAAGGAAGGAAATAACTTGTTCTTGGGGAAAAAAGCTAATGAATCATAGTATGCAAACTAATTTGCTAAAAATATCATTTTAAGGCAGAAACATTGAATTATCTTCTATAGAAGCAAAACTGAGAAAGGCCTCTTTCCACTGTTCCATCAGTGTTATATATTGACTTTAGCAATTTGCTGAACTAACAAATGATATTTATCAATCTAACAAATGATATTGCAGCAATACTGTGTATTCCAAATCCTCAAAATCATGGTTCTTATTCAAAGAGCTTGATTATATAAATTGGATTATCAGCCAAAGGTGAAAGTCATTTGGAGACTTCAAGGGTAGAGGAGATAGCCAGAGTAGATGGTGGGTAGTATATACCATATGTCAAGATTGAAGGCCTTTCTGTCTCTACCATCCCATGCCTCAAAACTGAATGAAATTAAGCTTCATAAAAGTAAAACAGTGATTATGTGATTCCACAATTTGTAGGTCTCCCAGTTCAGGTCTAGAAGCTGTTTAGAAGAGATAGATGCTTCCAGTTGACTAAGATTTGACTGGTCGTTTCATTGATCCATAAGAAACACTTTACTGATACAGATGGTCCTTGATTTACTAAGCCCAAAATTTATGTTGCTAAGTGAGTAATTTGTTAAGTGAATTTTGTCCCATTTTATGACTTTTCTTGTCACATTTATTAAATGAATCACACTGCCGTTGTAACCTTAGTAACACGGTTGTTAAGTGAATCTGGCTTTTCCATTGACTTTGCTTGTCAGAAGGTCACAAAAGGGGATCCTGGGACCTTCTGGGACATTGCAGCCGTCCTAAATATGAACCACCTTGTCAAGCAACCGTAAATCACGTGACCACGGGGATTCTGCAATGGTCATATGTGTGAAAAATGGTCATAAGTCACTTTTTTCAATGTTGTAACTTTGAACAGTCATTAAATAAACTGCTGTAAGTCGAGGACTACCTGTATACACCTTGCCAATCATAAGAATGAGTAGTTGGTATCTCATAATGAGTATAGATTTTACTCCTCATATATATCTATAGATAAGATGGACCACACATAAATAAATAAAATAAACCTAACTTTCAAAATTTCTCTTGGCAAACAGTTATAGATGGCACTTCCATCTTCTGCCAAGGTAATAGCAACTTATTGATGGAACTCTCCCTCTAAGGCAGCTCATATATCTATTTCAATGATTTTCAGATGCTAGATGAAAACATGGGATGCTTAAAGAAGCAGTCAGTGCCATTGGTCTTTAGGACATTTTTGCTAATTGTATTTCTCAAGTTTCTGCTATTTTTGCTTTTGTCACATCTTATTTTAATCAGGTTGGATCCTAATTTAGCTCTGTTTTTGTCACAGACTTACTGAAATGAGTGCAGCTACTGCCTGATATTTTTTAAGCCTATTTCTGATGTAATAATGCTTAACAAAAGTATTTTGAATTTGGTGTCTTAATATTTCCAATGAGTTAGTCCTGTCTATAATTTCTTCCACATGCAAGATTCGCACTCATCAATTATCAGTAACATTTGCTTTTGTCTCCATGTTGCCATGGAAAATGTGTGTGTGGGATTAGCAGCTTCTGCTTTAGAGGATACATTGGAAAAGCTGATTTGCAGCATTTTCTCTGAAGCTATTTAGCAATCTGTTTCCTACTCAAAGTCCAATCTCACCCCACCTCCTGGATTCCATGACTTCCCCATTCTCTCTTGCATCCAATACAAGTCTCCTGGGTCCATCACAACACTGTCAAATTAACTATTAAGACTGTAGTTCTTCTCATCCTTATTAGTACCTATCTCTTCCCACTTATGGCTATATCCATGTTGCTTGCATCTTTACAACTTACTGTATATTGTTTTTATTGTTTCCTAGTATGATTTGATTGCTTATTAGTATCCTATGACTATCACTAAGTGTTGTATCTTATGATTCTTGACAAATATATTTTATTTGTTGTTTATGTACACTGATACCATATGCACCAAAGACAAATTCCTTGTGTGTCCAATCACACTTTTCCAATCTCTTCAAAAGATGGCACTGATGATGCTCTCTTAAACAGTGGGCAGTTAGGAATGCTTTTCTTAGCTGAAAAAAGAAAATGTTGTTAGGCAGACATGGGTTCAAGGTGCACATTAGTTGCTTTTGGGGCAGGGTCCTTATTGGGCAGCTGGAGGGAGTACAGCAACATCCCAATTGCTGAGCACAGCAATTGGGATGATGGTGTAATGGCATGGAGTGGTTGATGAAGATAAAAGAGACAAAGCAATGACTAGATAGAAGAACCATAAATGTGCATCTAAACCATTATATTTTTAAAGATAGAGACACTTTAAGAATCTTGCATTGGAGTGTGCAGCAAAATATTTGAATCAAAAGATAGACTGAAACAAACAAGGCAAATTAAATTGTATTGAACTCAAATGAGAAGGTAAACTAAGGCCAGAGTTTCTCACCCTTGACAGTTTTAAGATGTGTAGACTTCAATTCCCAGAATTCCCTAGCCTTCATGGCCTTTGGCCTTTGGTCACAAAGCTGAGCCATCTTTCTTTATTGTGTCATGTATGTTTTTACTTACAGCTCATCTCCTGTAGTTTTATCCGACATGGCATCCTTCAAATATGCTGAGGATTGCCAAGACCAGGCTGGTTCAGAAGTCTGGAGTTTTTTTCAACAGAGCACCTTATTGGGGAAAGCCATTCTATACAGTCATTTCAGAATATTTATAAGCAATTCTATAGCAAGTTTCATTAAAGATCTAGGACTTCATTTACACCAAATATTAAGCTTGGATATTTTGAACTCTTTCATGCTATTTTTGGGAGGGCTATATAGTTTTTTCCCTCTTACTTTTGTTCTTTAGTTTTCCTTTGTGCAGCGAAGTTATAAACATAAACAATTACATTTTTTATTCTTATGAACCTTTTTCTGATTTGCCCTTTTTTCAGGTTTATCGTTCACTTTTTCCAACAAATCATGCTCACTATAGATGTAACCTAATTTGCAGCTATAGCCCTTTGGGTTAGTTTATGTTCCAATGTATTGTGTTAGCTCAGAAACCTGATTAACTCAACAACTGTGTTAAATTTGTGGGACACTTGTTCCTTAAGGATATATGTAATGCAATATTTGTGCTCTGCATTCATAGCATGTAAGATTAGAAGGGATAACTTGGGGATCACTGAATTCAATCTCTTGCACAGTGCAAGAATCCACTTTTATATCCTAAAAGAGGCTCTTTATGACAATAGATTATCAAACTCTAAACTAGCATGTTTTAATTCATCAAATTCTCAATAACTGTGAAAAGCCCCTGTTGAGTTCCATCTAGTTTGCTTACTTAGACACATAGTTTCCACAATTCTAAAATGATTTATCTAATCCATTACTCTGGCCAGTTTCAGATCTAGTAGATTTTACATTGAGGGTGCAGATCACAACCATTTTCATTCATCTGAGTTAGTTCTTATTATATTGATATCTATTGAGGCCACTTGGTTGTGTTTCACTTCTGAAGGCCCAAGATACACCCAGCCTTGAATACTGTGGATATTGCAATCCAAGGACTTTCTAAGCATTGCCAGCAAAAACAGTTATATTGGTGTGATAGAAAAGAAAAATGATCAATTACACAATAGTAATAATATTTGCTTCATTTATTTGCATTCTTCTCATTAAATTTAAATGTAAATAAAATAGATTAAAATTATATTTTTGCCTTGATCAAGGTTACTTTTCAGATTACAGTTGTATGGCTTTAAAAAGTTGTACTAATATGGGGTCATTTGATATTATAGAATTAGCCTAATTTATTGGATGAGGTTGTTCTAATACTTTATTGCTATTAATCATGTGTCCTTTTCTCTTATCCCTATAACTTCCTTCCTTCTTTCTTTCCTTCCTTCCTTCCTTCCTTCCTTCCTTCCTTCCTTCCTTCCTTCCCTTCCTTCTTCCTTCCTTCCTTCCTTCCTTCCTTCCTTCCTTCCTTCCTTCCTTTCTCCCTCCCCTCTCCCCCTCCCCCCCTTTCCCTTTCCCAGATCATTGATGTGACTAATGAAGTACCACAGATAAGCAATTTAGTACAAGTAATAAGCCAACTCAAAAGGGTAAGATGGCATTTCTTCCTTTCTCCCTCAAATTTAATTTAGGTTAGATAGCTGTATGATAGCTAGGAATCACAATATAGGGGAGAGCATGAATGAATGAGGGACACAACCATCCCCCCCCCAAAGGATTTTCAGCAGTGGTGAAATACAAATTTTTTTACTATTGGTTCTATGGGTGTGGCTTGGTGGGTGTGGTGTGGCTTGGTGGGCATGGCTTGGGTGTGGCAGGGTAAGGATACTGCAAAATCCCCATTCCCTCCCCACTCCTGGGGGAAGAATATTGCAAAATCTCCATTCTGGGGCCAGCCAGAGGTGGCATTTGCCAATTCTCCAAACTACTCAAAACTTCTGCTACCGGTTCTCCAGAACATGTCAGAACCTGTTGGATTTCACCCCTGATTTGGGGCCAGCCCACTCTGGGGCCACCCAGAGGTGGCATTTGCCGGTTCTCCGAACTACTCAAAATTTCTGCTACCGGTTCTCCAGAACATGTCAGAACCTGCTGGATTTCACCCCTGATTTTCAGGGACTACACATAACCTGTGGCCTACTCTTGGTAAAATTATGAGTCAAATCCTGAATTAGGCAGAATGGTTTGGGAAGAAGCAACTTTTATTTGTTAGATTACAAAACAAAACAAATACCTCATTTCTTCGAGGTCTTATAGGATAGCAATGACATTTATATATCGCTTCATAGTGCTTTACTCCCCTAGGAAATTCACATCACACTGACATCTGGTGAGGTAAATTGGACTGAAAGACAGTGACTGGCCCAAGGCCACCCAGTGAATGTCTGGCTAATAGCAAACCCTCCACTCCTCATCCAGGATCTTTTGTTTTTTGTTTCATAAATGTTCAGAAAGAACAATATTGATATCTGGGACATATAAATCAAGCCTACATCAAGAAGAATGTATTTGGTCTCTTGGTGATGAAGCATACTGGTGGCACACCATTCTTTGTGGTAGTGGGAACTTAATTTTGACAGCAAATCTATATAAATTGTCAGCAGCCATCTCTTCCACCTTCATAATCTGAAAAGGATGAGCATAAATTCTATGATGTGTTCTCATATCATGATAGCACTGTGTAGCATCTCCAACAGTTGTCAGATCCTGACATTCCTTGTTCACACTGTTCGTACTGTGAGTTCCACTGTGAGAATCTCAGGGCAGCCTAATAACAAAGTTTTTCATCTTTGGAAGAGAATTCTCATAAACCTGCCCACAGTATACAATTTCCTCAGAATATTTTTTTAATCTTCTTAGCTGAATATAAAACACTAGAAATAGGATTTTGCAACAACATAGTTAGGAGCAAACCTATGCACCCAATAAAAAGTGGTGTTGGATACCCTGGACTAGGAAGGCATCTCCCAACATTTTCATACTCCCTTATGGTCTCATCTCTCTCACAGTCATCAGAAAGGCATTCAACTACTACAGTCTTAACCACTACAACACACTGGCTCAGGAATGTGGTCTATTGTTAAGGAAAACATAGTTAAGATCAGAAAACAGTAGAATGCATTTGCAAATTTACCTTGTTTCTCTCTGAACTCCGGTAGATAATGAAGAAATTGGTTCTACTCAAAATGTTCAAGAGCCGAAACCGCAGAATTAAGTGGCTTTGGGAATTAGCCAACAAATACCTGAAAATGCTAGTGCTTGAAAAGCCATCAAAGAGATCCACTTCCATTTTAGGGTAAGTGAGAATAATTGAGAAATTTTTGTGCATGCATTTTGCCCAAATGAGATAAAGTTGGATCATTAAAGTGAAATGTTTTTAAAACTTGCTATCAAGAAAAGTAAAGACTCCCTTCAGTTGAGCTGATGATAGTTTTCTTGGCAATAATATGGAAATGATTTGCATTATCTTATTCTGGGAATGTTTTTTGACTTCCTACAGACCCGAGATATCCTGGTGATTTCTCATTCAAATATTATTTCATTGTTGTGACATGGTTATTTACAAGCCAATTTATTATTTGACATTATGGTGGCCACTGGGTCTCAGGGAAGGATGGGAAAAACACATGATCAATTCAAGAATTGAAAGAGAACTTCATCTGGCTCTCCCCATAGAAAGCAGTAGTCCAAAAGATTTTCCCAGTTCAGTCAGAAAGGCCATGCCACAGATTTCAAACGCATTAGTGAAAATATACTATTTTAACCAACTTGATACTATCAAAATTTAGACCAGCCAATCTGGTAAGTGCAAGTGTACTGGGATTACAGCATCATGTTGGCCAAGTTGGCTTAGAACTGTAGTCTTAGTACTTCCAGAGGATACCAGTCTGTGGCATTACATTATTAGTAAATCCAAATATCAATTCATTGGGTGGTTCCAGAGGAACAAACCAACAATTGTTTCTTCTATATTCCGTGGTAGAAAGACAGAGCAAACCAGAATGCAGATTCATAATAATGCTTCCATTCTGCTTCTATGACAGGATGAGCGTCTCCTCTGCAGATAGTTTGAGTTCTAATGCTGATATGGTCATTGAGCCTGTCATAGATATTACTAAGGTGTCTATTGACAAAGAGGTTGAAGATGATTGTTTCCCTGAGACATCCTTGAAGGCTTCAACCTCAGGATGTTATGAAGCACTCTGCTTGAAAGGCCTCCCTCACCGGTTCCACATGCCAGCACCCAGAATGCTCTGTAGACCTTCAGCTCTGAGATGGACCAAGCCCTGCTGCACCAGATCGTGTAATGAGTCTCTGGAGCACATCATCACCATCAATTATTCAGAATGTCAGAAGTCATATTCTGTGAGCAACCAAACTTCAATTATTGTTGCCTAGGGTACAGAGTCTCTTAAAGAAACTCAGGCCTGCCTAAGAAGCCAGTTTTTGTCTAAAAGTCAAGCTTGAGTATCTTTAGAGTCTTGTCAATAGCTTCAGCACTTTACTCTGAAGCAATCAGGGAATATTTCCTGGTTGGTACAATGTCTCTATGGTGATTCCCATCCTGCTTACTCTTGAAGTGAACAAGGTTAGAGACTCAGAAATTGTATAAACAGCACGTTTCAAAGTGCTCATCTTATCTAATCGATTGAGAGGAATTGGATTCATAAAGGTAAGGGGGGGGGAAGCCACAGCAATAGCTTGGGGTCTATTAGAAATGAAAACACAATGTTGTGGCCCACCAGCGGCCAATGGAGCTGGCAGTAGAATCAGACAGTGAGGAGGTTGGGGAGGAACATGGGTCAGTCCTGGGGGCTGGGGAAAGCTCGGACGAGGGCTATGCGTCAGAGGCAGAGGGAGATAGACAGTAGCAAGGCAGAGGAGCAGGTGGAGCCCATTCCCAGTGTGCACATGTGCAGAGCTGTCAGAAGACAAGAACAACTCAGAAAGCAGGGTCGACTTGTAAAGCCACATCTTGGAGATGATTGGCCCCTCCCATAGGAAATAAAAGAGGAGCGAACATGGAAGGGGCTTTTGCAGGAAACAATTCGTTCATTCATTTGGTCATTTAAAGAGTGGAAAGTTCTGTTTGTGACTTTAAGAGACTCTGTGCCAAGTTTTGCCTTACTCTGCATTTGGAAACAAGTTACATGGCAGCTTATCAAGTGAGATAAGGGAGCCTAGGTCAGAACACACAAAGAACAGAGTTGCTGACCCAACTGGCAACCAAAAAGGGGAATATCTTTGCCTGCTCAGATTGAGGAAGCACATTTACAATTTCATTTCTTGCAAGACCTTTTGCATGGAATTAAAACAGAGAGAGGCTATTTCTTTGGGACTGGTGGTCACAGCTAAATTTTGAGAACATCTTGTAGCCATTCTCCCACAAAGAATTACATTGGGTCAAGGCCAATTCCTTCCTCCATCAATCTCCCCTCCCACACACACACAACATTTAGCAGAAAGCGAACTGGTGGGGTCCTTCTCATTGACTTCTCTAGTTCTTTCTCAAGACCATTGCTATTGATCTCCAGACAACTCATGTCTTTTTCTTTTACCAAGTTGATTCACATCCAAACAAAACTGAAGATTGGGCTTTAAGTTACCTCCAGTTTTATTTCTTAGGAATATCTCTCAGATTTATGTGATATTGTAGGACGAAGCTTTACTCTGCAAGGTGGTAGTCTTTTACATTTTTTTAAAGTTAAAAACTAGTTGTTGTTTTTTTTTAAAAAAAAGATAAATAAAATCAGGTGGGTTTTTCTCCCCAGATTTAAAAGAAAGGCTTTGATGAACATCTTTGGGATGATTAATAGAGTGATTTTTATAGGTCTAAGTAGGTGGAACATATGTTTGCTGCAGGCAAAAGAAAAGAACAGAACAGGAGGGATTAAATTTCAACATTAATACTAGTAATAAATAGTAGCAGTGGTATAATTTTGGAACCTTGGTTTGAAAGTCTCACATGTGAGCATCCTTATTACTTTTTTTCTCTTTTAAGAAACTGGCTTGACCGGACTGACGCTCATTTCAGATGCTCTGAAGATACTGTAGTAAGAAGAATCCTGAAGAGATAGATCTATTAAGTGCCCTATTAACTCATATTCCTGCAATAAATGGGATATTGATCATCCTTCAAACACAAAACCTGTCTGGACTTGGCAAAGAACTGGGCATGCTTATTCAGGCCAAGGGAGGGGAATAATGGTTATGGGATTTGTATTCCAGATGGGTCCTTAGGTTTTGCCTATCCTGACCAATAACCAGAGGTATCTACAACACTATTTATACCCTTTCTATTGCACCACAAATAAGAGACCTGGCATCATAGCTAAATTTTTCCATTCAGTCCACAACAACTTCATCTCATCAATCTCTTATCTCAGAGACTCTAGGAGTCTCTGGAGGCTGGGGACAGCAAAAAGTGTTACATCCTGTCCAACCGGGAGTTGGGAAATGGGCTGTTTCAGGCCTCCAGAGGACCTCCGAGGGGGTAGGGAAGGCTGTTTTGGCCCTCCCCAGATGCATAGAGAGGATCTGGAGCCAGGTGAGAAAGAAAAACAGGACTTCCCCACCCCCACTCCGAGGCCCTCCCTTCTGGTGGGCCCAGAAGGCTCGAAAATCAGCTGGCCAGTGCACATATGTGCGCCGGAGCTGAGCTGGCATGGCAGGTGACATGGCTCCATGTGCCACCTGTGGCACGCGTGCCATAGGTTCGCCATCACGGGGCTAGATTCTAAGGTCTCTGATTCTATGAAAACATATTTCTCTTAGTATTCTGGTTTTGCAAAATAACTTCCTTGATCTGAAAAAGTGATATAGTTTACATATTAAATAGGCTTAGTACTCATCAGTGAGTATACAGAATAAAAATGTCTGCTCTCTAGGGTTCACTCGTGAATAAATAACCTCAGAATCCTCAATGGGCCAACATTTTAGGATATTTATACACAATAAACTCTAGTGTTTTTGTATGGCTGCCTTGTGCAATGTAATCATGGCACCAGCTGAAATGTAGAGATGATTTCAGCATCATTTACATGTAACAGAAATTATACTGGAGTGGCTAAAGGGAGCTCTTAAGCACCCCCCTCAAAAAAAATATGCCCAGAACAGGGTTGTCAGTTGGCCAGGAAAGAGCATTACTCTAATACAGCAGTCTTAACTGAATCAGGATTTAGTGATTAATCCCAATTGCCTCTATTTGTGCAACAGCGAGCCAATCAAATTTTAGCATTGTGTAGGAATGCTAAAATCTCTTAAGCTTTTGTAGGATTTGAATAGCATATTATGAGGACCAGTTTGGTATAGTGATTAAAGTCTAGAAACCTGGAGACTGTGAGTTCTAGTCCTGCCTTAGGCATTGAAGCTAGCTGGGTGACTTTGGGCCAATCACCCTCTCTCAGCCTTAGGAAGGAGGCAATGGCCAGATGCTTCTGAAATCTTGCCAAGAAAACTAAAAGGTCTAGTCCAGGCAGTTGCCAGGAGTCAACATTGACTTGAAGGCACAGAACCAATATACTATAACTGCACACTTGAAAATGATACCCTGTTTCCCCCAAAATAAGACATCCCCTGATAATAAGCCCAATCGGGCTTTTGAGCGCATGGCAATAAGGCCAAACGCATATTTCAGGGTTCAAAAAAATATAAGACAGGGTCTTATTTTTGGGGAAACATGGTAGTTGAAGACTTTCTATGCATATCATGGTGGCCATAAGAAACATAAGCAGCTACAGAGCACTGATTTACTAGAATTCTGTCTAAATCTTGACTCCCCACCCATGCACCCTACCTGTTTACCTTTTCTGCTTTCCTAGACAAGTGTATACATTTCTAGCCAAAGGATTCCACTGGATCCATTCATCTAGAAACCTCTTAGAAACAAACTTGATGTTGAAGATTGGCAGTTGGGAGCCTTATTTCAAAAATTATTAGTTTATTTTAGTAAAAAAAACCCAAAAGTCAGATAAAGCAAGAAACTAAAAAAGTTGTTTACAGGCACACTGGCACACCAGGGCACAAATGCTGGGAATATCTAGGACAGTGGTTCTCAACCAGTGCTCCACGGAAGAAAAGGTTGAGAACCCCTGATCTAGGATATTGTGCTCTTCCAGCCAATGACCTAGGAGTTCCTGCCTTTCTAATAGTTCGTGTCAACTTTGAATTGGATCTGGCAGAAGCCATTTTTCTATTCCTCAGTTGCCACTCAGAGTAGAGAGGGGGAAGGAGGATGAAATACATTGCTAGACAAAACACAGAACTTTCTCATGGGAACCAAGGTCATCTCTACAGGGAGGAGTGCATGGAAATCCCGCCAATTAACCTAATTGGCCAACGTGACCTGTGACTTTTGGGGAGGGAATTATTTTCTATTTTAATTATACTGAAACCACGGGAAACATTTAGAGTTGGTTTTCCATTTGATCATGCCAATATGATGTATCCAATAAAGAAGTTCTTAGAGGAAGACTTTAGCCTCCGAGTTCTGATTTGCTTGAGTTCATTAGTCAGGATCATGACAGTTTGATTTGATTTGTTCAAGAAGGCTGCAAGTAAGTTGGTATCACCTCTTGCCACTACCTCCTTACAAATTGAGCTGCCATTTAAAGGCAGGTACCAGATCCAGCAAACCTTCCCCAGAGCTGTGGACCATGTTACAGCTCAGCAGGATGCATGCAAAGGATGCTCTGAAGGAGACCCAATTCAATCAACACCAACATGTTTTGTGAGGATCAGAAACAGAAGACTAAAATCAGCCTTAATCTTTTGCTTTAACTGCACTGAGCATGCTGAAGTAGGGTTTCTGAGGGCTTCAAAAGCAAGAGAAATAGGAGTTAAGGCTGAGTTAAGACATTTTAGTAATTAGAAATGTTCCTATAATTTGGCTAGAGGTATATCTTCTATATTACCTATTCTGATTCATAAACCTACTTAAAAGTAAACTCACGTATTCTGAAGGGGTAGATTCTGAATGGGTTCGTCTTGAACATGTGCAACCATCTCTGACTTCTTTGCCAAGCTATTGAAGTTTAGGATAAGCTGGTTAAGCAGAATTGGGGTTTTTTAGAATCATGGCTTGAAACCAGTGGTGGGATTCAAATTTTTTTACTACCAGTTCTGTGACCGTGGTTTGGTGGGTGTGGCATGACTTGATGGGTGTGGCTTGGTGGGCATGGCAGGGGAAGGATACTGTAAAATCTCCATTCCCTTCCCACTCCAGGGGAAGGTTACTGCAAAATCCCCATTTCCTCCCAACCAGCTGGGACTTGGGAGGCAGAGAATAGATGGGGGCGGGGCCAGTCAGAGATGGTATTTACCGGTTCTCCAAACTACTCAAAATTTCCGCTACCGGTTCTCCAGAACTGGTCAGAACCAGCTGAATACCACCTCTGCTTGGAATGCTAGTCAAAAATGTTATAGTATGACTAAAATACAAAAAAAACAACAACACAAAATACAAAAATGAAACAAACTAAACAACACTACAAAAAAGTCCATAAACTAGAGAAAACCAACATGTACATAAATTGTCCCCCTTAGCTGAATACTGATAAATGCATTTCAAAGATAATAATTCTTCTCCTTGGGAAGCGGGCACACACATTTTAATTAATGTTTTGAAGAAAATAAAGATTGAGGTGAAAAGAGTGTTACAGTATTGCTAATATTAATTTAGGGCAGCTACTAATTTGTGGAATATTGGAGGCTGAATTCAGTTCCAGAGGTAACACAAGGCAATCCGAGGTGGCATTCCGCAGGTTCATCAAGTACCTTCATCAAGAATCATAAGGTACAACACTTAAATGATAGTCAGAGGGTACAAATAAGCAATCAGGAAACAATATCAGTATAAATCGTAGGGATACAAGCAACAAAGTTACAGTCATACAGTCATAAGTGGGAGGAGATGGGTGGTGGGAACGATGAGAAAATTAATAGTAATGCAGACTTAGTAAATAGTTGACAGTGTTGAGGGAATTATTTGTTTAGCAGAGTGATGGCGTTGGGGGAAAAAAACTGTCCTTGTGTCTAGTTGTTCTGGTGTGCAGTGCTCTATAGCGTCGTTCTGAGGGTAGGAGTTGAAACAGTTTATGTCCAGGATGCGAGGGGTCTGTAAGTATTTTCACAGCCCTCTTTTTGACTCGTGCAGTATACGGGTCCTCAATGGAAGGCAGCTTGGTAGCGATTGTTTTTCCTGCAGTGCTAATCTTCCTCTGAAGTCTGTCTCTGTCTTGTTGGGTGGCAGAGCCAAACCAGACAGTTCTCGAGGTGCAGATGACGGGCAGTTCTCTTGGCAGTGGGCTTGTTCTGCCCTGTCCCTCTTTTTTCTTCCCTGCCTCCTTCGACCCGCGACGTCCCCCGCCGTGTCCGTCTCGCGTGGCTGATCCGCAAAGCAGACCTGGGCAAGGTCTGCCCTGCCCTCGGCGCCAGAGAGCCCGACCTGAGCGAGGGCAGAGGCAGAGCAAGCGCGCTCCGAAGGGGAATCGTGGCACTTTTCCCCCCGCGTGGCGTGGAGGCTCCCGCGGAGTTTTGCCAGGGTCAACTCCCACCTTGACTTTCTCCTCGGGAGGTCGAGAAGCCCCTCGGGTCCTCCCCAGGGAAGAGGAATGGGAGGGCTGCCGGTGGCGGCGACCCAGTTTACCCGGAGCCCCTAAACCAGGCAGCCACAGCGGAGACAATGGCACTTCGACCCGGCACGGTCCTGCTACTCATCACTCTGGGTAAGCCCAAATCTCCTCCCGATCGCGGACGCCGGTCCAGAGGATGGGAATGGCATCCTCTGAGTGGATACGTGGGGGGGGGGGGATTTGTCGAAAGGATAACGGGAACTTTAAAAAAAAATCCAGATATGTTAAAAGACAGTTTACTAGGCAAGAATTGATGTTATTCCTCTTTCTCTGCATCGTTAGAAGGGTTCCTCTGTTAACTTCCCGAAATTGATAACAGACAGTAGAAGAGCCCGGGATAGTATTAGTGATGGGCAACTTCTGACTACAAACTTAGTTAAATCCATGGCTTCGTTTCCAAGGGAAACCTTTCTAAGGAACGCTTTCAGAATTCAGTTAAGTTGGTGAGACTTTCCAAAAGCAGGGACGGCGAATTCAAGAATGATGCAAGTTTACTTTTCCGTTCATCTACTGATTCGTTTTATTCTTCGTGGCTGCTTTTTTTTCTTTTAAAATACCAAGCGCATCTTTTTCATTTTACCTTTTAAATAGCCTCGTGATAGAGCGATGTTTACGAGAGATCATACTGGCCCAGCTCTTTGTTTAGTCCCTCCTTTGGAAATCATGTATTCCAGGTCAAAATCCCTAACACTGATCTTGTCGAGCAAGTTGTATCTTACTAGGCTATGCTAGAGTTTGTTAAAGCATAGTTTATTTGAATAAACCCCACAACTGGCTCGGGTTATGTAACACCAACCACAGCTGTGACTTTTCAAATGATACCCTAATGACATTGTGGATTAATGCAATGTTTGAAGCAGAATTCTACTTAGTACTTAATTTTGGTTCTGCTTCTTGTATATGATGACCATTCATTATGTGTGTGTGTGTGTATTGCACACATATAGTTTGTGCTTCTTATTTAAGGGAAATTGGTCTTTAGATGAAGTGCCTGGAAAAAGAGGTGTGCTATTAGATGCTACATTATTTTTTTTATTTTTTATTTTAATTTGATTTATATGCCGCCCTTCTCCGGAGACTCAGGGCGGCTTACAATGTGTTAAGCAATAGCCTTCATACTTTTGTATATTTTATACAAAGTCAGCTTATTGCCCCCACAAACTGGGTCCTCATTTAACCTACCTTAGAAAGGATGGAAGGCTGAGTCAACCTTGAGCCTGGTAAGATTCAAACCTGCAGAAATTGCAGGCAGCTGTGTTAATAACAGGGTGCATTAAACCACTGTACTACCAAGGCTCTTGGTATTAAGCCCCTTTTCCATTTGCAGGGTACTTGCTCAAGTTACTGACGGCAGAAACTCAGTGTGAAAATATTTATCAAGATTTCTCTGGCTGCATCTTAAAATTAGGAGAGAACATGGCTAGATATGAAGAAGAAGCTGAAGAAGACAAAGTGAACCAGAGTCTGCTGCAAGGATTGCAGGTTGTTTGTGGGTGAGCAGCAAACCTCTAAACTGTACTGTAGGAACATCCTGTCGTGATGTGTATCTTGAATATACTGCAGTTGTCCCTCTAATCTTTGAGAATAACAAAATAACAGAGTTGGAAGGGACCTTGGAGGTTTCCTAGCCCAAGCCCCTGCTCAAGCAGGAAACCTGACCTATACTATTTCAGACAAATGGTTATCCAATCTCCTTAAAAACTTCCAGTGTTGGAGCATTTACAACTTCTGTAGGCAAGTTGTTCCACTGATTAATTGTTCTGTCAGGAAATTTCTCCTTAGTTCTAGGTTGCTTTGCTTATTGATTAGCTTCCATCCATATCTACAAGACCCCTCACATCCTGGACATAAATTGTTTTAACTTCTACCCTCAAAACGACACTATAGGGCACTGCACACCAGAACAACTAGACACAAGGACAGTTTTTTCCTGAATGCCATCACTCTGCTTAACAACTAATTCCCACAATTAGTCAAATTATTATTCTGTCAAATAATCTATTAAGACTGTATTACTATTATTCTTCTCTTCCTTACTAGTATCTATCTCTTCCCACTTATTACTATAATCATGTTACTTATATCTCTCAATTTATATTGTTTTTATTTGTTTCCTAGTACGATTTGATAGCTTATTAGTAACCTTGACTATCGCTAAATGTTGTATCTTTTTATTCTTGATGAATATATTTTATTCTCCTTATGTACACTGAGAGCATATGCACCAAAGACAAATTCCTTGTGTGTCCAATCACACTTGGCCAATAAAGAATTCCATTCCATTCCATTCCATTCCATTCCATTCCATTCCATTCCATTCCCTACTCTACACTACACTACACTACACTACACTACACTACACTACACTACACTATTCTACCCATTGCTTCTTGTCCTGCCAACCTTCTAAATCAGAATGACTGATATCCTCTTCCCTTTTCTCCTCTGTGAATGTTTCCACTGAATATTCTCTTAATACTAATGGGAAAAGTGAAGGTTTCCACTGTCATAGTACAGTAGTTGGTCTCCTGTCTATTAATTGGCTAGCAAATTGTGTTCCCCACAGAAAATGGTTCCATCTTTCTGCTTAGCCATAGAAACCACAATAACGGAAGGAACTTTCTTTTGAAACTGGCTTGGATTTACTATGTTTTTATCCTTTATTTTAAGTGCTACCATTGGCACTTCCTCAAAGACAACCATCAATTGAAAGCAAAAGACTAATTAAAGTTAGTACCAATACAAGAGAACAAGTCTTTCATTGTTGAGAAGTGCTTGCTGTCCCTTACTGACATGTTAGAACCCTAGATTCTAAACACAATTAGAAATGTCATTTTGTAGATAGCAAAGACAAAGCCAGTTCTGCTGCCTCTTATGAAACACGCATTTGGTTTCAAGTAAAGAATGGGTACCATACTAGAATTTTAAGAAATCTGCTTCCGTGAATACAATTTGAGCCTGAGCAGTTTTGGTTGGCTACCAATTCAGTGTGCTGGCTTTCATCCTATCAGTGCCCTGATAGGTATAATATGATTAGATTTTCAGGTTTCTGACGTCCTGGTATAGTCAGCTGGTGCCATCGCTGACTATTGGGGGCGAATCATTGGCCCCCACGGAAAGGGCTCGCAACTTGGGTGTCCTCCTGGATTCACGGCTGTCTTTAGAAGAGCACTTGACAGCCGTGGCCGGGAGGATTTTTCATCAGGTTCGCCTGATCCGCCAGTTGCGTCCCTTTCTAGATCGGGACTCCTTACGCACGGTCACTCATGCCCTCGTCACTTCCCGTCTGGACTATTGTAACACTCTCTACATGGGGCTCCCCTTGAGGAGCACTCGGAGGCTCCAACTGGCGCAGAGTGCGGCCGCGCGGGTGGTGATGGGAGCGACGTGGCACTCCCATGTAAAACCTCTCCTGCACAAGCTGCACTGGCTCCCGGTGGTCTTCCGAGTGCGCTTCAAGGTTTTGGTTATCACCTTTAGAGCGCTCCATGGCTTAGGACCTGGCTATTTACGGGACCGCCTGCTACCACCAATAGCCTCCCACCGACCAGTACGCTCCCATAGAGAGGGACTCCTCCGGGTGCCAAACAATGTCGACTGGCGGGAGAGCCTTCTCTGTGGGGGCACCTACTATCAGGAACGAGCTCCCCCCAGAGATACGGAGGATCCCGGATCTGCGTACCTTCTGTCGCGCGCTCAAGACTTTCTTGTTTCATCAGGCTGGCCTGACCTAAGTCTTTCCCCTTTTTAAATGGAAATTTTAAATTCAGCCAAATTATTTAATTCGTTTTATTCTATTTTAAATTTTGTATTTATATTGTTTTATTTTATGGCTATTCACCACCCTGAGTCCTTCGAGAGTAGGGCAGTATACAAATTCAATAAAAGAAAGCAAGATAAAAGAAAAGGTATCCAATTCTTTGATTTAAGGCAACTATAAGGGGAGGATGCTGGGAAGGAGTTCATCCTTTATCTTGTATAATTTCTCCACTCACTTTAATCCCACAACCTTCAAAGCTTCAATTAATATAGCTTTATCATTTGTTTTGTTGTGCTTGTTGAATTTCCTTGCTCTGCAATGGCCTTTGACTTTAAACTATGCATTTTCTAACTACCAATATTAACCATAATGGGTAGTGTTTTATTATCCCATTGTTCTTTGCCAGGCTTGGTTTGCCACCTTGGGCAGCTTCACAGCCAGAGGACTGAGGAGAGTACAAACACATCTGGTTGTTTATCTTTAATCTAATCAAGTGCAAGAAGAAGGCGGTAAAATAGCAAAAACATCAAGATGTTGGAAATTTAGCTTGCAGCAAGTCTGAGCAGAGAATGATTATAAGCAGACATGAGAATGGGAAGAAATAAAGGAATTGTAGAGATAAATGCCGCTCATTGAAGCTTCCAAGGTGAAATGCTGGACAGAGCAAACATTATAGACAAACTAGGAAATGTACAAAACAATTAAGGAAAAAGCCAGAAGTTCTGGAGAAACACTGTCCTGTCAAAACTGTGTGAGAAGAACTATTGAGATGGGGGAATGTAGAAACCACAATAAATTAGATTGTGATAAAGCTGATAAAAAGGCCAGATGGAAGAGGGCAAAGAAATTTTTCATGTAATAAAATGAAGGGATTAATAAAGGAAAAATAAGCATTTGGTAAAGGACAGAAGAAGGAAGGGATGCCGATGTAAAGAACATTACTGGATGTAGAATCCTAGTACTAGATGATGATGATGCAGATTACTGTATCGGTAGTCCTTGATTTACGACCACAATTGAACCCAACATTTCTGCTGCTCAGTGAGACATTTGTTAAATGAATTTTGCCCCATTTCATGACTTTTCTTGCCACGGTTGTTAAGTTTAAAGTTTTTAAAGTTTTTTCTTGGTGGAGTTTTTTAAAGGAACATCGGGGCTTCCGGGGAGAGTCTCACCTTCGGTTTGCGTAGGTTTTTCTTGGTGGACGTTTTAAAGGTAGCCTTGCCATGGTGATGGTGGTGGGGGATTTGGTGGCTGGGGTTTCGGCGGCGGGGGTTCGGAGCCTAGCCTCAGATTCAGTATTTATGCATAGGGGATCTGTAGCCTGTGGCAGGATTTGGTGGCGAGGGCCTAGCGATTGTCGGTGGTGGGGGTGGGGATTTGGCTTCTGCGGTGGGGATCCGTAGCCTGCGGCAGTTAAGGAATGTTAAGGTTAAGAAATGTTAAGGGAATCACTGCAGTTATTAAGGTAGTAACAAGGTTGTTAAGTGAATCTGGCTCCCCCATTGACTTGGCTTGTCAGAAGGTCGCTAAAGCTAATCACATGATCCCAGGACATTGCAACTGTCAAAAATATGAGTCAGTTGCCAAACATCCGAATTTTGATTGTGTGACCATAGGGATGCTACAGATATTTAAAGTGTGAAAAAATGATCGTAAGTCACTTTTTTAAGCGCCGTTATAACTTCAAAAGGTCACTGAACAAACTGTTGTAAGTCAAGGATGTTCTGACCTAGGCTTCCTTTATCTCCTTTGACACGCTGCCAAAGACTCAATTGGCAATTATCTTGGCAAGGCCATACGGAAACACAGAATCAAAAACGGAGCTTCAAAGTACAAACCGACATCATCCACAATGTTCCTTCCTACAAAGGCCCACGTGCCTTTGCTCTTCCTTTATGTCTTATGGGAGGGGTGAATCATCTCCAAGCCTTACTCCCGAGTTGTCCCTTTTGTTTTAACTGTTCTTGCCTTCTGGCAGCTCTGCACATGTGTGCACTAGGAACAGGCTCCCCCTGTTCCTCTGCCTCTCTGATGTCCCACTCTGGAGGCTCCGGAGTCTGCACATAACTCCCAGATGGCCTGGCCCCATCTCTGCCTCTGATGCAGAGCTCTCGTCTGAGCCTTCCCCAGACTCCAGGACTGGCCCATGTTCCTCCCCAGCTTCCTCACTGTCCAACTCTGCTGCCAGCTCCACAGGTTGCTGGCGGACCACAACAGAGGACTATCTGTATAAACACTTTCAAGAGAGCTGGTTTGAACCAGCTATAGAACCAGTGCAAACTGGGGCCAACCCACCACTGACTTAGATTTATATACTGCTTCATAGTGCTTTTACAGCCCTTTATAAGCAGTTTACAGAGTCAGCACATTGCCCCCAACAATCTGGGTTCTCATTTTATTGACCTTGGAAGGATGAAAGGCTGAGTCAACCTTGAGCCTGGTGAGATTTGAACTGCCGAACTGCAGCTAGCAGTCAGCTGAAGTAGCCTGCAGTACTGCACTCTAACCACTGCGCCACCGTGGCTCTTGGCATTGGTTTTTTAGCATTGGTTTCTTAGTTCAGTGGTCACCAACCTTTTGGACCTCAGGGATCACTAAATTCATAATTTTAAATCCCACGGACCACTAATATGCATTTTAAAAAAGATAAATAGTATTTAGTGCAATATAAAAAATGCAAATAATTTTTCTGCAGACCATCAACATTTTCTCACGGACCACCAGTGGTCC